GAACGAGCAGCAGGAAATGAATAGGGAATAGGGAAGTAGCACGCGGAGGTACAGAAACAAGGAGGAGAGAGCAGGAAAGGAGGAGGATGGGGGAAGATTCGGGGCTAGGAGGAAGGATGGAGGAAGGATGGAGGAAGTGGAGGAGGGAATGAGTGGGGGAAGGATAGGGGAGGAGGACCAGGAGGAGGAGGAGGAGGAAGAGGAGAAAGTACAAGTACACAATGAGGCGTAACCCGTCGCTGAATCGGTGAATTCTAATCCTGTCCTGATGGTTCTGCAGACTGGTGCGCACGAGCGGTGCAACTACACAAAACACGCGTGGCATGATTGATTAGACAGGCTGCAAGCGAAGCCGTCGCATCTGACTTCCCCGCTATATTCTGGGAAGGTTCGGCATCGTGATGCTCGGTCCTGGCGTCCGCCAATAACTTCGGACTCCGTGGGCACGCAGAAGTCCCCAGCACGGCATATGCCTTGGGAGCTCCAGGACGGCCTGAGGACCCAGTTTGTCCGTAATCTTAAACTTCGGGGGCACGTTGAAACCCCCAGCAAAGCATGGGACTACGCCTCAGGGCCAAAACCGCCGCGAGAAGGCCCCATCAAGGGCCAAAGACCCATCATGCCCCTGAGGTGGTTTATACCAGAAGCTCAATAAAACTACCGCGCCAAAGATGGCCACAAGACTCCTGACAGGCCCTTCAGAAGACGCAGCAGATCCCCGAGAACGGCCCTAGATGCCCATGAGAGGTACTCTCAAAAGCCTCGACCAAACTCGCAAGAGACACCGCAAACCATGTAAGCATCGTTACGGATTTCGATGTTTGCCACAAGCAGCTGGACACTCGTCATTGAAAGCATCACCTCCAGCCTCCAGCAGCGTGAACTGTTCAGGAAAAACATGATCACCAGGACGCAATGCACAAGAGCAAATGGGGTCCAAGCAATACGCAGCAAGTGAGACTGCGGCATGCCGAACTGAAAGTGTGAATGTGGGGACGAGAGGGCAGGGATGGAGGTAAGAGCAGAAGGATACCGCACCGCAGCTTCTGGGATCTCTCCCGAGATGCGTTCTTACTAGGGTACCAAGGCGAATACAGCCCTGCCGACGAGGGCGCCCCCGGGAGGCCAACCAAAAACGAAAGCGAGAAAAACAATATCGGTAATGGCACGTGCCTCCCCCCTGAATTGATGCATGACCTCGCCGGAAACCGTAAGCCCAACCAGGCTGACATCTCAGGGGGGCATCTGTCTTGGGGTGCCATATGGGACCTGCTCTAGAACAGGAACATGCCGCAGACGGATCCCCCCTTTCTCCGACCTTGCACCGCGCCGAACGCAAGTGTCACGTTGTCCATAGACGCGTCCAGCCTGGAAGTGTCCGCGGACGTCACGGCACCATGAGTGACCATATAGACGCTCTTGGCTAGGACGTGAGAACGTTGTCTGGCATCGGCACCAGATGTCGGCCGCCCAGACGCAGGTGTAAGTCGGGCCTGTCCCCCTACAGGGGGGATTTTCGACGAAAAATAAAACATACCCCCAAAATGTCCAAAGATATTTAAAACATAGTCCCCAGACTATTTTTGGACTAGTTTCGGGGTACCTTTCTTCTTTTTCGTCGAGAATCCCCCCCCTGTAGGGGGACAGGCCCGACTGAAACGCCGGCCGGCCTGGCCCTCCCACCTCCGTCCCCGCCGCGGGCAGCTCCCGGGCCGTGGCTCGGGCCCCCGGCGGCCGCTCGGGGCGACACCGGGCACCCCCCCCCCCGAGGCGCCTCCGGCGGCACCCCGAGGCCCCGGGGAAAGCTCTGACCCGAGCGGCGACTGGCCATCGCTCGGACGTCCATCCATTCCCTGTGTTTTTCCGGTTTCGTGCGTGGTTTTTTCGCCAAATGATCAAGGATGCTCCTCGATGGTCCTCGCCGGGGAAAAAACGCACACGTCCGAGCGATGCCAAGGCGAGAACAGACGGGGCCCACTCTTTTTGTTGGGCGGCGGGGCGAGAGCGAACCTCTCTTCCGCTAGAAGCTAGGCGGGCGACGCACAGCTTTAATTAGGGAGGCAGGGCACAGGAGTGCGGGACTGGAAAATGACCACAGCCACTGCTTCTTGTTTGCGCCGCCTTCCAGCTGGCCGAAAAAGAAGCAGTGGTTGTGGTCACTTCCCTGGTGCCGAGAAAACGAAAATGACCACCACCTCTGCTCTGTTTCTGCGGGCTGGAAGGCGGCAACAAAAGAAAAGCACTGGCTGTGGTCGTTTTCACGCCCCGTACATGTCGGCCATCTTCGCGCCCCCACGGGGGGCGGGGGGCAGGAGGAGGCTCACTGCCCATAGAGGGAAAAAAGGCCGAGGAGGGAGAGAGGGGGAGGAGGAGGAGGAGGAGGAGGAGGAGGAGGAGGAGGAGGAGGAGGAGGAGGAGGAGGAGGAGGAGGAGGAGGAGGAGGAGGAGGAGGAGGAGGAGGAGGAGGGGAGGAGGAGGAGGAGGAGGAGGGAGGAGGGAGGAGGAGGAGGAGGAGGAGGAGGAGGTCCCGCTCGAGATGACGCCATCAGCGACCCGACGCGCCGGCCTGCACGGGCCGCCGCCGGCGCGGCACGCCGCGCGGGGAGCGAAGGGCGCCGACGCGCCCACCCCGCGCGGGCAGCTCGCGCGGCGGGCGTCGGCGCAGCCCACCCCCGTCGTGCTGCGCCGCCCGCCGGCCGGTTCCCCCTCCCAGATGGTCTGGTACCGGAAATTTTCGGTAGCGATTTCGACGCACCCCGAATTTCGGTAGGGACCGGATCTTCGTTTGAGGGCGTCGAAATCGCGGATCTCAGAACGCTCTGAGACCGGTATTGGGCGCCACATTTCGGTGTTTCGGTAGCGACCGATCTCTGCGGAGCGCTACCGGAAATTGTCGGTAGCGGACCATCAGGGCTGAGCCTGACCCGGGTGTGGCTAGGAGTGCCCTGAAAGGAAGACGTTGACAGCAAACCGAGCCCCAGGGCAATCAGCACGCAAGGTGTCTTGGCCGTTCTCGGGGCAGGCTGAGGGAAAGGAAGGCGCTGCAGAGCCCTGGCCCGAGGTGCCCTGGCCCAAGGTGCCCCCAGGACTTCCAGGGAGGCCCCCCACGGCCTCCAGGAGCACCCCTCGCGAGGCCCGGAGGGCCCCAGGGGGCTCGGAAAGTGAGCGAGAAGCTGTGGGCACCTGGGGCCAGGGTTTGGACGCCCAAAGTGGGGATACGGAAGAGATGGGTGCGATGCCCAAGAACGAGTGCTGTCCAAAACCGACAACGGTCGCTGTTGGGCAGGCGGCCTTCTGTCTCAAATGGCCAAGAACCGCCGCGACGCCGACAGCGAAAAACAACCAGTGCCCACTGTGTCCGAGCCATTTTCGGTCCCCCCGACAGGGGCACTTTTATCGATGATCCTCAGAACGTGTGTTAGCGCCAACGTGTGTTTGACGCATGCGGCGCAACGAGGGCCGACATATGCTGCGCGCCATCGGCGGAACCGAGCGGGGTAAACACACGCTTGAGCTAACGCGCGTCCCATGGACCATCCATTTTAGCAGCCCCCCGCTGACGTTAGGTCGGGCGCGTCCTCCTACAGGCGAAGTTTGGACGAAAGGCTAAACATACTCCAGATATGCAGAAATATGCAAAATTACTCCAAACTTGTCCCCAGATTATGTTTCTACTATCTTTGAGTGTTCCTCAGGAGGCAACTGCTGGGAGGCTTTCGTCGGAAACATGAAGGAGGATGAAGCCCCATTTGAAAACTATTACGCCACAGAAGACCTCGGATTGAACGGGATTAAGCAGGATTGAGCGGGATTCAGCGGGATCAAGCCGGATTGAGCAGGACTTCGGACCAGTGCAAACTCAGAACTTGGCCTCCCAGGAGTTGCATCCCAATCCTCCTGCAGAGGGACAGGCCCGACTTGATGCGGGCAATAATTATATCCACATCCAGTGCGTCTTGGATCCTTGGGCTCTCTTCCCCAGAAACCGCAGACGCACTGGATATGGATAAAAATCTGGTCCCAGGAGGCTTGATTTAATCCGTATCCAGTGCGCCTCGGCGGTGCGGCACCCCTTCCCAAAAAGTCCACGACGCTCTGGATATGGATTTTGAGTACTGCCCGCACTTGACGCTGACGCTGCCCCCGAGGGAGCCTAAAACAGGACTAGGATCGGGATAAATCGCTCCAGAGCGTTCCAGAGCGCTCTCAGAGCGTTCCGGAACGCTCTGGAGCGGCCGCGGCGCCCAATACATCCTCCAAGCCCGCCGATTCTCAGAGATTTCGAGTTCTCCCGATCCGATCTTGTCCCGATCTTCGCGCCGTTTGAACACGGGGGGGGGGGGGGCCGAACCCCGACGGGCCCAGCCCGCCGCCATCCGTTTGTGTGGCCGGGCCCGCCGTCCTTGGACCCCAACGGGCGGGCGGCGGATACGCATACGGCAGGTTCGTGCCGTGCCGACCCCAGCGTTGGTTTTTGACGCCGCGCTGGATCGTTCAACCTGGAACGATCGGCCGTCTCCGCAACGTCCGATCGTTCAACATCGACCGATTCTGGGTCGCCGGCGGCGTTCAACCTTGAACGTCGGCGGCGGGGTCGCCGCCGGTCGACACGACGCGAAAGACCCCCGACGTAATGATTTTTCATTACGTCGACCCCAGAGGTCCCGACCCCTTCCCCAGGACCGGTTTGTCATCCTGAGTCGTTTTTTGACGCGCCCGAGGCCCGGTGAGGGCCCCCAGAGGCCGAAAATGGCGAAAAACCTCCCGTCGTGATTTTTTCATTACTCGAGGGGGTCTGGGCAGTTTGACCCCGTTTGAGAGCCGCGAGGGCGGCCCGCCTGCCGGGAGGGCCACCCGCACGTGCGCCGGGGCGGACGCTCTGGAGCGGCCGCGGCGCCCAATACATCCTCCAAACCCGCCGATTCTCAGAGATTTCGAGTTATCCCGATCCGATCTTGTCCCGATCTTCGCGCCGTTTGAGAGCCGCGAGGGCGGCCCGCCTGCCGGGAGGGCCACCCGCACGTGCGCCGGGGCGGACGAGGCCCGGGGGCGGCGGCCGTCGGGCGCCTCCTGGCGGGGGCGGGGCGGAGCGGCGCGTGGCGGCAGCGCGGCCACGGCCAGCGCAGGGGGGGTGCGCCCACGCGAGGGGGCTCCCAGGGGGGGATTTTGAGGGCTCCGTCCTCGTTCTCGTCGTCCTCTCCCTCCTCCTCCTCCTCCTCCTCCTCCTCCTCCTCCTCCACTCCTCCTCCTCCTCCTCCTCCTCCTCCTCCTCCTTCCTCCTCCTCCTTTTCTCCTCCTCCTCATCCTCCTCCTCCACCTCCCCCTGCTCATCCTCCTCCTCCACCTCCTCCTCCATCTTCTCCTCCTCCTCCTCCTTGCCCTCATCGTCTTCTTTTTCGAGCAAGCTAGAAAGCCGCGCATCCCCAGACCCCCTCGAGTCATGAAAAAAACACGACGGAAGATGTTTTGCCATTTTTAAGCCGACGCTCCCCTGACCTCGGGGCCGTCAAAAAACGCCTCGGGATGAAAAACTGGTCCCCAGGGATGGGTCAAGACATCTGGAATCGAAGCTATGAAAAGATCGTGACGCCGGGGTTCTGGGTCCTGAGGGACGCATGGGCTGGACAGCAAGGGCATTCGTGGCTCCTATCGTGGGTCGCTGAGACTGAAGGACGCAACAATAGCGATAGGTGAACCGTACCATTGTGTATACATCAGATCCTGAGGGGATCCTCGACATAGACATTGAAAAAAAGGCGGTGCCAAGCATTTCGGTGGCGGCATTCGAATCCTGCCCCTACCAACCATTGGTTCTCCCGAATCGTTGATCGGCGAGGGTAGGGTTTGGATTTCGCCGCCGATCATAGGGATGGGGATCTGCTTCAGGCTGGTAAGCGCCAAGGGTGGAGAGATTGGAGTGGTCACAGGAGCAGGAAACATACGGCAGGTGCGTGTCGTGACGACTTTGGCGTTGGTTTCCAACACCGCGTGGATCGCTCAACCTTCAACGGTCGGCAGCTTTTCGATCGCCAGACCGCTCCACACTGGCCGAGTCTGGGCCACCAACGACGCTCAAGCTTGAGTGCCCCCGCTGGGGTCGCAGCCGCGTCGACATGACACAACACCCACCGTACAGTGGAGGCCAGTCCACAAGAGACCTTCAACAAGAGACCCAACCCTGAGACCCCAGGACGTCCTCTGATGTCTGGCGTGCGCCACACCCTCGAAACCCAGGAAACCCAGGGCACCCTGGAGGCAAGCAGGGTGTCAACCCACGCCCTCGAGGTCTGGATTCCGGGGCGCGGTCTCGCGGGCACGCGGCACCGCGGACGCGTCCCGCGCAGGGCCTCGAGACGGCGCACCGCATCTGCGGGGCCCGCGGCCCAGGGGCCCATCGCCCGCGGGGCCGTGGCCGTAGTCGGGGTCCCTTGGGCAGGACACGCGAGAGAGGGCACAAGACCCCTCCGACGGCCACGTTGCCACAGGAATGCCAGAAGGCAGGCGCCGCGGAGCTCTGGGCACAAGGGGCGCCCTTGGCTCAGCAGGGACGACCTGCTGGTCGGTCTCGACTGCATGGATGCGGCGCCCGCCCGCGGCGGAGAGCGGAGAGGAGGGCCCTCCGCACGTGCGCGGGAGCGCGCGCGCGCGAGGACCCCGGGGGGCGGCGGCCATCGGGCGCCCCTCCCGGCGAGCCCGAGCGGGCGAGGCGGGCGCGGCGGCGAGGCCACCTCCCCCAAAAAGGGCCGAGGAGGCCTCCGCCTGGCGCCCTGAAGGCTGGGGCGTGCGTTGGGAGGCAGCCAGGAGCGGCCCGAGACGATGCCCCCCGGGCGGCCCGATGCTGACCTTAAGTCGGGCGAAACATAAAACATACAGCAAAAATACTCCAGAAAGGTCAAGAAAAATACTAAACAGCTAGTCCCCAGACTACTTTGGGACAATTGTTTAAACTATTGTTGGGGTATGTTTTAATTTTCGTCGAAAATCCCCCTGTAGGGGGACAGGCCCGACTTAATGCTGACCCGCCATGCGTCCTCAAGACCTCCCCGACGGGACTCCCAAGGCGGCCCCAGGATCCGCTCGGGTATTTCCCAAGATGGCTCAAGCAAGCCTCTTCGGGGGAGACCAGTCACGCCGGCGCGCCCAAGACAGCCCTGACGCCCCCAGCGGTTCCCAACGGGCCCCCGAGCAGGGCCCCAGCAGGCCCCTAAAGTCACCGAAAAGGTCTCCTAGAAGCCTCCGAGGAGGGAGGGAGGAAGAAAGGAGGCGGTAGGAGAACCAAGAGTCGAATCGATATGAATCGGATCTGCGGAAACAGGCAGCCAAGTCGAACGAACTCGAATCGGCGGAAACCAGCAGGCTAGTAGGCCTCCGAGAAGATATCGGAATCCAAATCGGAATCCGAAATTGAATCGAATCGGAATTGAAAACCATAGATTTTTCAACATCGTCTTGGCTTCGTTCAGCGTGCTTGAAGTGCTTCAAGATGAATAAATGGGAGCCCAAAAAGGACCCCAAGATGGCTCCAAGAGCGCCTTGAAGACTGCCAAACATGACGTTTCGCTAGGGACATCCTTAAAGCATGAAAACATACATCAGCATCGTTTGGAAAACTGATGGTCTAGCATCGTCTTGAAATCGCTCTTGAAAAGGCTTCCACGCGGCCCAAGCCAGACTTCCAAACATGACGAGCTCGCTAGGGACATCCTCAACAAAAAGATGTGTTTGTGACATCGCACTGGCATCATGTGTGAAGGCATCGAGACAGCCCCAAACGGGCCCCAAACGAGGCCCAAAATGTATGGGGTTATCGTCTGAGACATCCTCGAAACCATGAAATGCTGAAACGGCGGATTCAAGACCATGCATGTCAAACTGAGCTGTTTGCCTGAGACACTTTCAGAAACTGGGCAGGACCGCCGCAGACCCACACACAGAAGCACAGAACACGCGGGAGCACGGCAGAACGCGCGGGAGCACGGCAGAACAAACATGAGCACGGCGGACCAAAGATCACACGGGAGCACGGTATGACACACACACACACACAAGCACGGCAGAGCACACAGGAGCACGCAGAACACAAAGGAGGAGCACGGCAGAACACACAAGCGCACGACAGAACGCACGGCAGAACACACAGGAGCACGACAAACACGCAAGGCACATAGGAGCATGGCAGAACAACCAAGAGCACGGCAGAACACTAGACAATTGATTCAAAAACTCAGCTTTTCCCGCGAGACATCCTCAGACAAGTGGCAGGACCATCGCAGACAAACACACACACACACACAAGCACGGCAGAACGTGCGGGAGCACGGCAGAGCATACAGGAACACGGAGCACAGCAAAACACACAGGAGCACGACAGACCACACAGGAATACGGCAGAACACACAGGAGCACGGCAGAACACACAGCATACATCCGTAGCCATTTTGGCTCAGCCCGTGCTCGGGCGCGCGCCGCGCGCGGGCGCTTGGGCAGAATGGTGCGGGAGGTGCTCACCGGTGTCGCGGCGGCCCGATGGGCGGCAGACAACCTGGTGAGACGGCTGGACAGGGAGCTGCGGGAGGCGAAGGCGGTCATCGCCAGCCTCCGCGCGCAGCTGGAGTGCGGGTCGCGCGGCGACGCCGCGGAGGCGGAAGCCCTCCGCCGCGAAGCCATCGTCGCGCGGCCCGCCTTGGTGGCGCGCGTCCGCGGACGCTGCGAGACCAGGGCGCAGCGGCAGAGGCGGAACGTCGCGTGGCATGCCGAGCACAGCCCGTCGGCCGACGTCCCGCCGCAGGCGTGGCGCAGGGCTCAGCGCGGGCCGCGCCTCCCAGGAGGGCCCCTTCCTGGTGATGGGCGTGGCGGTGCGGCGCAGAGTGCCATCGTGTGTGAAGTGGAGACCTGCGTCTGCGAAGTGCAGCCGCCGTTCGAGTGCGCTGTGGATGCTTGCGCGGCAGACGCGCCAGCGCGGATGCCCAGCGCCCGAGTGGCGGCCGCGAGGACCCCACTGCGTTCTGGCGCCCAGCCGTACCTTCCCCAGTGGGCGCGCTGGGCCGCGCTGCTGGAGGAGCTCGGCGTGGCGCAGCTGGCCGAGCAGGGCTCCGGCGAGGACGGCGCAGGGTGCACCGAGGCGGTAGAGTCCGACGCGGCGGTTCTGGCGAGCCTGCCTGGCGACGCGGTGGAGCTCATGGCCGGCGGCTCCGAGGTTGGCCCCGAGGAGCAGGGCGAGTCCCAGGGGAGCGGCGTGGCGCCCGTGCCGCGCGGGCTGTCGGCGACAGGTGGGCCAGCGAGCTGGGCGGGGCTGTTCCTGTCGGGCAAGGGTGTGCGAGGGTCAAGCGGGTATCCTTCGCTCCGTGGCCCGACGTCACCGCCTTGGAGGTGGGAGCCCTGGGAGGCCCGCTCGGCGTGGCAGGAGTCCTTCGGCATGGCCCTGTCCCGCAGTGGGCGGACCCAGCTTGGACGAGCCAGGCGAAGGCCGTCGACCTGATGCACCTCTGCGAGTGCAAGAGGTTCGGCATCTCCGCGAGGCCTCGTCGGCGACTCACCTGGAGAGTGCGTTTCGCCGAGGGGCCTGGGCGTGAGGGGCCCGTGGCCGTGAGCGCTGGGGCACCGCGGCCGCCGCCTGTGGCCGTCGTGGAGGGGCCCGCGGGAGGTTCGGCCATCGAGCACGCCGGCGGCATGGAGCCCCTGGTCGCGGGCTCCGTCGGCTGCGCCGCGGGCGATGGCCACTCGGGCTCGGAGTGCGGGTTCGTTTCATTCCTGGACGACTTCTCGGCGGCGGCGGTGGCGTGCGCGGCCCAGGGACCGAAGTCGGGAGTTGAGTCACTCCTGGACTGGACCGAGGCCCGCGCCCTCGGCATCCGCCTCGGCAGTGCAGGTTGTCCAGATGCCGAGGAGCGTGTGCGGCTCCTCGATTGTCTTTTGGTCCGTGCGCGTTGCACGACGCGGCCCAAGAGTAGTGCGTGAGGCGGGCAGTTGCATTCTGTATGTAGATATGTTCTCGCCTTGTTGTGCGGCCGCGGTGGGGGCCCTGTGCGGCCCCCGCGGGGAGAGGCGGCCCTAGGCGGCCCCTCTCGGGAGGGCGTGTCTCGGGTGGCGCTTGGTGCCCCTGGAGGCCCCTCGTTCCTTTTTCTCCTTTTCCTGCCTTTAAGGCCCCTCCAACCAACCAACCAACACACAGCATACACAGGAGCACGGAAGAACACGTAGAGCACGGCAGAACACGCAGGAGCACGGCAGAACACACAGAATACAGAGAATACAGAGGAACACGGCAGAACACGCAGGAGCACGGCAAAACACCCAGAACATCGAGTCACACAGCCGCACGCGCAGGCACACGCACACAAGCACACGCACACACACACACAGGCACACGCACACGCACACGCACACGCACAGACACATACACACACACACACACGCGCACACACACACACAAACGAACACACGCACACACAGGGAGGCAACATACATTCACGCAGAAGCACGGCAGAGCAGCACAACACAACATAGCAATTCCGCAGACCACCACGCACGGAAGCACATGCGCACGCGCAAACGCACGCACACCACGACATAATTACGCAGCGCATGCGAAGAACGTAGGGTATCCCACAACCCAAGGCACAAAAGAACGCTTCCCCTTCTTGTCAGGTCAACTTCAGCAAATACGACTCGACGGATCGAAGCAACCGTGCGAAACTGATCGCCTGGGGGCCAAGGGCGAAACACGGAACCAGACAGTGAACGGCAAGAAGAAAAAACACGCGGACCAATGCCACGCTGGCCCACAGCCTGCACGGTGCAGCCGCAACGTGTCATTGCACCGGCCTTGCAGACGTGCTGCAGCGGATTTCTGCGTGGATTTCTGCGTGGATTTTTGCCCGAAGCGGCGAGCGAAAAACGAAGGGAATTTCGCGTGCATTCTTTTTGGTCTTCATCCCTGGCCAAACAAAAATCCGCACGACGTTCACCTCCACATCCGGAACGGCATTCTCCGGGACACTCCGGGCGCCCACCCCTTCGTTTTCCGGGCGACATCCGCTCTGCGACGTCGGCGCCATGAAACGCGGTTCAGCAGCGGATTCCCACCGCACGCCGCAGGGAGCCCCGACACAACAAAAAAACGAAAATTGCTTCGCGCAGCAGGCGGCCCGGTCGCCGGCCTTCCTGCCGATGTGTTCGGGGGGCGCGGGGCCCGGACTTGTTGCAGTCGGTCGCAGTGAGGGGGCCCAGGGACACACAAATTCGCCGGCCCAACGGGCCAGAGGCGTGCTAAGATCTCCGGTAACTGGTTAACAATTTTCTAGTTCGCGCGCGCGGGGCGGCCCCTGGGGGTCCCCGGACGAAAAGTACCCCGACCAGGTCCCGGCCGGTCCCCGGCCGGGTCCCGGCCGGGTCCCGGCCGGGTCCCGGCCGGGTCCCGGCCGGGTCCCCCCGAGCGCTCCATGAGCGCACCAACAGGGCTCCGAGACGTCCCCGAGAGCCCCAAGAAAGGCCAAGAGGCCCCCAAGAGGCCCCCAAGATGGTACACGAGGGGTCCGACATGCCACAAGATCGCTCCAAGACGCCCAAGATAGCCCCCAGACGCCCCAAGAGGCCTCCAAGAGCACTCCCAATAGGGCCCCCGGAGGCAAAAATCATTGTTTTTCCATAGGTTTTTGAGAGATTTTGGAGCTTCCACCTTTTCGGCTTCCCGACGCCCCAAGACGGCCCAAGAGGCCCCCAAGATCGCCCCAAGAGGGCCCAAGAGGCACCCAAGAGGGCCCCAAGATGGCCCAAGAGGGCTCGAAGACGGCCCAAGAAGCCTCCAAAACGGTCCAAGAGGGCCCCAAGAACGCCCCCAAAGGGGCCCCAGAGAGGGAACACGAAACAACATTTCGAGCCCTCGGCCCTAAGAAGCCCCTACGAGGCCCCTAAGAGGCCCCAAGAGGCCCCCACGGGGCCCTCAGGAGGCCCCCAAGAGTCCCCCAAGCGGCCCCAGGAGGCCCCCCAAATGCCCCCCCGAGCGCCCCAGGAGTCCCCCAAGCGGCCCCAGGAACCCCCAAAGCGCCGCATTGACACCAGGCCCTCGGGCAAACGGCAGACATGAGACTGTATGGGCCGGCGGAATGAGCGAAGCGATTAATAAATGCACACAAGTCCCAGGATTCCCCCTATCTTCCCATATTTTCTGGGTTTTCGTCTTCCCCCCCCCCACTTGACATATTCATATGCTCCCATACTTTCCTGGGAATCGACGATTACTTGTCTGTGCGATGGATGTTTTTGTTTCCCCTGCCCGGGCTAAGCCGATTTGATCCAGGGCGCTCTGCGCACCCTTGTGCCCCCGGTGCGCAGCTTCCCGCAGCCAGCGCGCGGACTCAGCAGGGTCGGCCAGCAGCTCGTCCTGGCCGGTGGATAGCACCTGCCCGAGCTGGAACATCGCGTTGGACACCTGCTGCGCTGCTGCCAGCCGCAGCCACAGCGCGCCGCCAGTGGCGTTGCGCGGGGTGCCGCCGAGCCGGAAGAGCAGCGCCATGCCGTAGTTGGCCATCGCCAGCGGGTAGCCGAGGCCCGCAGCCCTGGCGTACCACCTGACGGCCTCGGCCTTGTCGGCGGGCACGCCCCTCCCGTGGTGGAGGCGAACCGCGAGGTTGTACATGGCCATCGGGTAGCCCTGCTCGGCAGACTTCCGCCACCACGCCACGCCGGCGGCCGCGTCCTCCTCGACCCCGCCCACGCCCTGCGCCAGCATGCGGCCCAGGTTGTACTGCGCGCGAGGGTCGCCGCGCTCGGCGGCGGCAGCGTACCACGGCGAGGTACGCTCCGAGCACGCGCGCGCGCCCGGGGTCATCCACACGACCAGGGACATGCGCTCGCCGGCCAGGACGTCTACCCCGTGCAGGGCATCGAAGCTGTGCAGCACGGCGTCCCCCGCCTCCAGGTCGACAAACTCCCGCTCCGAGATGTTGAAGCTCGGCAGCAGGTAGACCCCCCCCTCGTACCCTGTGCGGGGCGTCAGTGAAACGATCGCGGTGACGAAAGCGTCGCTGTCGTAGTGCCACGGGTGCTCGCGCCGCTCACCTGGCACATACCGCCTGACGATCGAGGTGCACGGCACGCAGTCAGGGCACCCGAAACGCTGGCGCACCACGGGGACGAGCCGCTGCTCCACCGCCGGCCGAAACGCCTCCAACACCTCAAGCGGCGCCACGGCACGGCCGTCCTTGGGGGATCCAAAAAAGTATCCATGCCGTTACTCCCAGACCTCTCCCACGGTGCGTTCTGACCAGAATTTCGTGGCGAATCCAGCCACGGCCACGAGGGCCGCCCAGGAGGCCCCCCCAAAAAGGAGAACGAGGCGAGGGTAGAGCGGCACCGGTACCTTTTCCTGTCCCGAGTCCTGGAAGAGCGTCGCCTGGAACGTGGGCTCCTGGTCCACCGAGTCCGCGTCCTGCTGGAACTCCAGCGCCCCCGCCGCGCCGCGGAGGCGCCCAGCCTCGACCCCGCTCAGCAGCCCGGACAGCCGCAGGACCCGCGCGGCGCCGAAGGGGTCGGGCACGTGGCCCTCCCACTCCTCGAAGCTCCGCCGCGGGCCCCCCGCAGGAAGCGCCAGCTCGGACGCCCTCCGCTCGCGGAAGCGGACGCCGGGGGAGCCGGCAGGGACGCCAAGCATGCCAACGCGGAGGTCCGTCCGCGCGCACTCCTCGCGTCGGCGCTGGGGCCCCCCTGGCGGCGGCGCCTCCGGCGCCGACCCCCGCGGCAGGCGGGGCGCACCGCGGGGAGGGGCGCCCATGGCGAGGATCCGCGCAGCCCGCGCGGACCTCCGCGCGGCCATGCTCGGGCCCCTGCCTGCTCCCCGCGAAGCGGCGGGGCGCGCCGCCGTGCGCGGGGCCCGGCGCGGCGGGCAGCTCCTCGGGCGGCCCCTGGGTGAGCTCCGCCGCCACGTCGGCGAACAGCGCCCCGGGCGGGCCCCCCCGGCGCGCGAGGGCCACCGCGGTGGCCACCACGGCGGCGGAGGCCGCGGCGACCAGCTGCGGAGGAGCAACAAAAAAAAGACGGTGTGGGTTATGGGAACTGTCCGCCACCGTGCCTGGCGGCACGGGATGGCGATTCCCCCGGTTTCAAAAACTGTCTCGAGAGCCAGAGAGACCGTCAGGGCAGCCCAAGAGCACTTCGGGACGTCCCAGAGAGCCCAAAGGCTTCAGGTGATCGCATTGCAACCGAAGATCCCCCGCGACGCCGCCAGGACGCACATGGAAACTTCTCAGAGGCTCGCTGTAAGCAGATGGCCGAATATCGCCCCTCCCTCTCATTCAAGGAGTCGGCGGATGTGGCGTAAGCCTTTAGAATAAATTGTCGTTTATCCGCGCAGATTTCTTGGATCTGCGCCGGAACCCCCTTCCCAGAGGCACCGCCATGGAAGTCCAACGCAGACACCAGAACTCCGCGCGGAGCTCAGACGGTTGACAAATCGGCAGCGACGTTGAGGGGCGAATAGCACCTGGAGCGGACATGACACATATCCCGCCGGGGAGCCTCGCCAGAGACCTGGACCATCGGCGCCCCTGGATACAGGTATTAGGAAGGCACCAACTATACACCAACACCGATCCTGGTCAGGATCACCCTGGGCCCAGGATCGGTGTATACGCCCTCCTGCCTTGCGCAAGAAGGCATACACACCGATCCTGGGCCCAGGGTGATCCTGGGCCAGGATCGGTGTTGGTGTATAGTTGGTGCCCTCCGAGGTATAGCTCCCTTCCTGGCTAATCATTGATCGTCACCTCCGGTGTGCTGGTCTTCTGTTCCTCGACTGCCTGGCCGGCCCTGCCGCCCGCCTCCGTCGCCGGCACGGCCGCGGGCCGGGCGGCGTGCCGGGCCTTCTTGCCGTGGGCCATCGCGGCGCGAGGCTGGCGGGGGGCATCCGGGCGCACACCGTTAACCAGCGCCCCCCCCCGCGCGCGCGCGCGCCCCGAGCCCGAGGCCGAGTTCGGGGATCTTCCGACCCGGGTCAATCCAGACCCGGGTCAGCAGGAAGCCAAAAACTGCAGTGCAGGAAAAAAAGAACTGCAGCGCAGGTCTTCGCAAGCCCGGAGCCCATACGAGCGGCCGCCTCGCGGCCACGAGCGGCTCGCTAACCAGGGTCAGCCAGAGGGGGCCTTCGCAGGATCCTGCAGGATCTGGCGCTCTGGCTGACCCCCGTTTGCACTGACCCCCGTCTCTTAGGCCCCGACAAGTTGCTGCTCCCCGCAAGCCGGGCAGTCTCGGCAGGCTCGTGGTGCCCTCCAGGCTCGCATCGCCCACTCTGCGGCGGCACACCTCCTCGTCGACGTCGCAGCGGCGGCCTGCTCACTGTTGGCGCCGCGTCGGGAAGCCCAGCCGCGGGGCCAGAGCGTCTGGCGCTCCGCGCCGGGATCGAGCCTTCTCCTACTCCGTCTCCGAAGAGCCCTCATCCGCGGAGCCCTGCCGCCACGCGATCGCCAGTCGTCGACGAGGCAGGGCGCCGAGTCAGGACAGAGAACGTGTCGCGAAGCGGCGGGCAAGAAACGGCCGTCTAGTTCCCTCAAACTGGCCAGCGCGGCGGAGCAAGGGCATCCACCAGGTCTGCATGGGGAACGCTCGGGGGGCACCGGCTCGGGGGCGGGCGGAAGCGTGGACCGAGAATCCGCAGCACATCACCGATGGATCGGCGATGGGCCCCCGATAGCGAGACCTTTTACGGTCCAGGGCGGGGTGGGCCATCAGGCGAGGAGGAGGAGGAGGCGGAAGCGGAGGAGGAGGAGGAGGAGGAGGAGGAGGAGGAGGAGGAGAAAAGGACATCCGCGAGCGCTGCGCGGACATCTCCTGCGACGAGGGCCAGGACAGGGGTCGACTAAAACGTTGTGTTGACAATATCGTGCATCGTTTCAGTTCCCAGCCATCCTGTGGTGTTGGGTCCTCGTTTTGAAGAGGCGGTCCCCACCTCTCCTCCCTCTCCTCTCCTCCTCCTCCTCCTCCTCCTCCTCCTCATCCTCCTCCTCCTCCTCCTCCTCCTCCTCCTCCGATCGGCGAGGAATGGGCGATTGGGGGTCGATGCAGCAAGCACCCCTGAGCCCATCCCCCCTTACAAGTTGCCGCCCAGGTGGCGCCCCAAAGGGGAAAAACGAGGCAGGGAAAGCGGCTTTGGGTACCTCTTCCTACTCTGACTGGGAGGTTGGGACGCCACTCGCCAGAAGGACATGCGCAGGGGTGGCTCGAAAACACGCGAGAGCAAGCAGCTGTCGGGTTGGCGGAGGTCCGCAAGGCCCTCTTGCTACAGTGCAGGCCAGTCCGCAAGAAACCTTCCACAAGACACCCCCAACCCTGAGACCCCAGGACGTCCATCGATTTCTGGTGTGGGAAGGTCACGCCTTCCATCGCAAAATCATCGAAACCCAAGAAACCCAAGGCACCCTGGAGGCAAGCAGGGCGTCTCTTGGCTAGGGCCTCCACCGTAGGGCCGTTGCCCGCTCGATGCCACAGGTGCCCGCGGCGGGCAAGAGGGCCGTGATCGCTCGCTGTTGCCTTAGGTCAGGCATGTCCTCCTACGGGCGAATTTTGGAGGAAAAGAACAAAGAATCAAGAAAGGCAGAAAAACCTGACCGGACAATAACGGGAAGCGCCGTTTTTGTCCACCAAGCGTGTCAGAGAACGTATGGTGGAGAACGTCAACGAAACTTCGAAACGCAACACAACAAATTGAGACACATGCCGTCGGTTCATTGCGATGGCCTGCCGCGCTAGTCTGCCGTACTGGTCTGTCGAGCTAATTTACCGGCCTGGGCACATGATGGACTTCGCGGGCCGTCTAGGGCTCTTGGGGCTCTCTTTTCGGCTCTCTGGGGCCCTCTTGGGGGCTTCTGTGACTCTCCTGGACTGTCCTGGCGCGTCTCGAGGGTCTGTGGGGGCTCTCTCCAGCTGCCTTGGCATTCTCTTGGACTGTCTTGGGGCTCTCTTGGGCAGTCCCAGGGCCTCTCCAGGCGCTCTTGGAGGCCTCTAGGGGCCTCTTGGGGGCCTCTTGGGGGTCTCTTGGGGTGCTTTGGGTGTCCTCTGGGGAGCCTTCGGGGGCTCTCTTGGGCCGTTTTGGAGCCCTCCAGGAGCGATTCCAAGATGATTTGGTTTCCCGAAAACCGATGTGTTGATGATGCCTCGAGCGAAACGGCAATGTTTCAGGAATCCACCAGCGAGGTTCGGGGTGCGGCGCGGACCCCATCAGTAGAGAAAAACAGCTTCAGACAAATGGTCCACGCCAGAGGCGCTTCCCGGTATCCGCTGGCCCCCTTGCGGGGCCACGAGGCTGCGAGGGTGAGGATTGCAGCTCCCTGTTCCAATTGCAGTTTCCAGTTTCCACTGTTACAATCTTGCGTTCTGCTTCCTTACTGTTACCTGTTGCTTAACGCGGGAGGGGGGGGAGCCGAAAAGCGTTCTGGTCAGCGTCCCCGAATCGCGTTGCCTCTGAATTCCTGGGGAGGGGGACACGTAAAAATACATGAGATTCGCGTCCCCGAGGCCAGAATCCCTGGTAAATTGCGTCACGCCATATTCGCATCCCCGAAGCCATGAACCCTTGTAAATTACGCTAGATTCGCGTCCCCGAGGCCACAAACCTTTTGAATTCAAACAATAGTACCGAGGCCCCAAACCCTCACACATTACACAATATTCGCGTCCCCGAACTCATAAACCATCCTACATTACACGATAGTCGCGCCCCCGAGACCATAAAACAATGTAAATTACATCATGCTTGCGCCCCCCGAAGCCATAAACCTTTGAACATTACACAATGTGCGCGTCCCCAAGGCCAGAAACCGTTGTAAATTACACCGTACTTGCGTCCCCGAGGCCACAAACCATTGCAAATCACAAAATACTCGCTAGATTCGCGTCCCCGAGGCCATAAACCCTTTGAAATTAAACAATAGTTGCGTCCCCGAGGCCCCAAACCCTATGTAAATTACACCATAATCGCGTCCCTGAAGCCATACATCATCGTAAATTATTTTTAATACGCGCCTCCGAGGCCATAAACCCTAATAAATCAATATTGGCCATCGCGTGAAGTCCCAACATTGTTTCACGTCAGCGTCCAGACATCACAACACAGCTCTGGCAAGTCCCATTCTAAGAGAGGGGGGCCCGGCAGCATGGGGGACAAGCCCTGACGGATAGTCAAAAATTAAAAAAACGTCGTCGCCAGACTATGTTTTGACTATGTTTGAAATTTCCTCCTGTAGAGGGACAGGCCCGCCTTAGCTTTAGGTCGGGCCTGTCCCCCTACAGGGGGATTTTCGACGAAAAATAAAAAAAATACCCCCCGAATAATCAAACAATAGGCCAAAAATATTCTGGGAACTATTTGTTGGGTAATTTTTTACCCTTTTGAGGTAATTATGTTTGGGATATTTTTCATTTTTCGTCGAAAAAAACCCTGCAGGGGGACAGGCCCGACTTGCCTCTCGGTGCACCACGAGGGAGCGCGGCCCTGCGAGGGGCCGGGGCACCGCGCGGCGCCGCAGCACACCGAAGGGGCGCCGCAGAGGTGCGCCCCCCGTGCTGCTGCCCGCAGCGGCCGAGGGTGCCAGCTCGGGCGCGGTGTGCACTCCTGCCCGATCGCACACGCCGGCTCTGCGCGGGCACCGTGCTGCCTCTCGCCAAGAGCGCTCTCTCTCTCTCTCTCTCTCTTTCTCGCCCTCTCTCTCTCTCTCTCCCTCTCTCCCTCTCTCTCTCTCTCTCTCCCCCCCTCTCTCGACGATCCCGCCCCTACTCTGACGGCGGGAGGTGCAGCGGAACCACCGGCACCGCCATGGCTTCGCGAGTTCCCATCCGATTGGAGTGGACTCCAAGGTGCTGGAGTTTCCTCTCGGTGGGTCTGCGAGTGCCTGTGAGCGCACCGCGAGCGGATGCCGAAGCCCAGAAACACGTCGGGAGAGAGGTGCACGGAGGGACGATCAAATGCAGGTACCATCTTCCTTCTTTCTCGCACGCGCCTGAAACAAACCTACTTTCCATCTCCCTCCTGGAGTCCAGGCGCGGCGACAAGGGGGCAGCCCGAGCGTCAAAGAAGTCTCAAAACAGGCGATCCGAGCTGTTCCATGTGAGTGAGCATGCGGGGGAAGTGGGATCGCGTGTGGGCGGGGGGGGGAGGAAAAAGGCTGCCCTCCTCGGGGTGCCGGGGGGGGAACGCGCCAGGGGGTGGGTTCCACGCGCGTGGAGGGGGGAGGGGGGTCGGAAACCTGTGCAGTGACAGAACGTGCGGCGACATCGAAATCCCAACACACCTCACCGCACGGTCCGCCACCGCACGACTGTGAAATCGCCGGGAACGTCCTCAAAGAACGGCCCACGCGTCCCCAAATCGTACGGTCGCCTCGAATCCCTACTGACTCACTATACCGGGGAAACCAAAATACTGCTACACCACGGACCTCTCCTGGATTATGTTCTGACCACAACTCCAAAACGAATCCAGACGTGGCGTCGGCGGAAAGGTGGCGGTATCGGCACATATCCCTCCTCTAACTTTGGGCCCCCCTGAGGAACGGGCCGTTGGGCGGGGCGAGGCCGTGGGAACAAGCGGGGTGCAGGGGTCGTTTGAACACTGCGGGGGAACCTTGTGGGCACGGAAAGGCCTAGGTGCCTGGCCGACTCCCGAGAAGTCGCTCGCAGACTCCGCGAGGACCCCTCTGCTGGGGCCGCCTTGAGGCCCTCGTGGACCTCAGGGCGGAGCAGCTGAAACCACCGTTCCCGACGCTCCACCGCTCTTGGCGCCTCCAAACATCGTGCCCCGTCAAATCGCAGGCCTCTCACAAGCCATGGGGCACCCACCGGCGGCGCATGGGCCGCCCAGCCCGGACCACAACAGCTGCCCCGGCCGAGCATACCCGCTCCGGAGACTCTCCTCCCTCCTCCCTCCTCCCGCCTCCCGCCTCCCTCCTCCCGCCTCCCTCCTCCCTCCCCTCCCCCTCCCCCCTCCTCCTCCCTCCTCCTCCTCCTCCTCCTCCTCCTCCCCCTCCTCCTCCCCCTCCTCCTCCCCCGCGCCGCGCGCGCGCGCTCTCCTCCGCGAGATCGATGAAGGTGTTCCGCACGATGACCCGGGTCCAGAGGTCCTGCGCGCGGCGCCGGCGCGCCTTCCGCGCCGCCGCCGTGCTCGGCCCCGCCTCCCTCCTCGATGGACCCTGACCTTCCAGAGAGCGATCTTTTAGCATGGGAAGCCTAAAAACCTAAAAAACGAACCGAGACAGCCCAAAACCAAGACACGAAATATCCCTGGGATCGTTTTTTTTTTTTTTTTAAGTCGCGTGTTATTGTTTAGCCCTCCTGGAAGGTCGGGGATGGGGGGGGGAGGGGCCCGCCTCCCTCCTTGATCCCTGACCTTCCAGGAGGGCTAAAAAACGATCCCGGAGCTCTTCTGTGGCTTGGCCTTGGGCGGTTTCGTCTCGTTTTCTGAGCTACAGAATAGCTCCCTGGAAGGTCAGGGATGGGGGGGGGGAGGGCCCACCGAGTCGCGATCGTCAAAAGACGATGGCGAACCCGAATCCTGGCAAACCCGGGTCTCTGAAGGGGAACTGGGACACACAAATAAATACACACAAAGAAAATGATCCGCCATATCTTATCCAATTTTCTGGGCTTTTTTGCCCTCCCGCCCACCTTTCCCATATTTTCCTATATTCTCTGGGAAGCGCCGATGAATTGTGTCTGTGTGTGTTTTTCCCCTCCTGAGTCTCACGCTGCAAACCCGGTCTTTTTTCTTTATACCTCACCCTTCCCTTTCCCTCCCCCTTTCCTCCCCTTCCCGAGGAGCAGGAAGCGGACGACCGCTGGTTCCAGAGGTGCCTCCGGGGCACGGCGTGCTTCATTGTGCCGCCCGAAAAGTTCGTCGGCAGCGAACCCTGGGGGGGGCTCCCTCGAATGGAGGGGGGGGGGGGCCACCAGGCTGGCAATCGGCGGCGCGCCTCGCCGACAGGGGCGGCGAGGGGCTCCCCCCCCGGCAGCGCGGGCCCCCGCGCGCTCCTCGGGGGGGGGGGGGGGGGGGGACGGGCCGCCGGGCCCCCCCCCCTCGGCGGCCCGTGGGCGAGCGGGGGTCGGCGCGCCCCCCCTCCCCCCCGGAGCCTCTCCCCCCCCCCTACGCCAGCGGGGCGCTCGGCGTGGCTCGCCGCCGCGCTGGCCACGAACGCCCAGTGAACGCATTCGTCGTGGATGGTCGTGCCGCCCTCGCCATCTGGACGTCGGTGAGCCTGGCTACCTCTTTCTTGGCGTGCTTGATGGCCCCCTCCCGCGCGGATTTAACCAGCCTCGAACGTATGCCTATCCCTGGGATGAACAAGCCAAAAATGTCGACGACGATCCCAGGGATGCGCCCTCAGAAACGGAGGGAGTCCCCAAGATCGGCATCGAGATGAGGCGATGCCAATCATGGGGATGGGGACATGTTCCAGGCTGGTGAGGATTGCCTGGAGCTGCGACGAGCACCTCATGTTTTGCATATTTCTTTATGTTTCGTCGAAAACCCCCCTGTAGGGGGACACGCCCGATTTGAGACCGGGCGCCGCGGTGGGCGGGGACGCGTCGGGAGGCAACTTCTGGGAGCCTGCTGGCAGCACGGCGAAGGGGGGGGGCAGCAGGCCCGACTGGGGAGCCACGCGGCGGCCGGCTCAGGCCGGATGGGGCCCGCGGTTGAGCCGGAGCAGATGGGACTGAGCTACTCCAGATTTCGTAACAAAAGGGAGGGGGTCTGGACCCTCCAAGACAAGCCATTTCAGACCTCCCCCGTGGGAGAACCCTCCAAAGCAGCGTCCCCAGACCCCCCCAGGCCCTCCAAGATAGCCTGGAAGAGACCCCCCCCGAAATGAGACCCCCCCCTCCCTTTATCACGAAATCTGGAGTACCCTACCCTAACCCTGCCGTTTCCGGGGCCCACAAAGCCTCACCACTCCTGCCCCGCCTTGGAGCCCTGCTCGGGCAGGCAGCGGCGGGTGCTCATCGCCTCCAGCCTCGACAGGCGAGCTCGGCACAAGGGCAACGTCAAGGGGAGACTGGCTCAGGGGGCAAGCACGGAGCTGGAATCGGCGGCACATCGCAGACGGATCGGCGATAGGCCCCCGATGGCGAACCCGCACTCTCCTCGGCGGGGTGGGCTACCCTGACCTTCCAGAGAGCTATCTTTTTGCACGGGAGGCCTAAAACCCAAAAAAACGAAACGAAGCAGCCCAAAACCAAGACATAGAGCAGCTCTGGGATCGTTTTTTTTAAGTCGCGTGCTATTTTTTGTTTAGCCCTCCTAGAAGGTCAGGGACCTCTCCCCCCCCTACTTGACTACCTACCAGACCACCCCAACCCAACCCGAAGACCCGAATTTCGGGTTGGGGGGGTAAGGGTTCCGCACGTGTTCTTGTCGATGGTTCCCGACCCCCCCCCACTGGAAATCGAGGGTAAAGCTGAGCCTTCGGGATGGGTTGGGGTGGTTTGGTGGGTGGTGAGCAGGGAGCCCCGACACAACAAGAAAACGAACATTGCTTCGCGCCGCAGGCGGCCCGGTCGCCGGCCTTCCTGCCGATGTGCTCGGGGGGCGCGGGGCCCGGACCTGCTGCAGTCGGCCGCAGTGAGGGGGCCCAGGGACACACAAAGAAGTGCACACAGAGTCCAAGGATTCCCCATATCTTCCCATATTTTCTGGGTTTTCGTCTTCCCCCCCCCCCACTTGACATATTCATATGCTCCCATACTTTCCTGGGAATCGACGATTACTTGTCTGTGCGATGGATGTTTTTGTTTCCCCTGCCCGGGCTAAGCCGATTTGCTCCAGGGCGCTCTGCGCACCCTTGTGCCCCCGGTGCGCAGCTTCCCGCAGCCAGCGCGCGGACTCAGCAGGGTCGAGTAAGCAGCTCGTCCTGGCCGGTGGATAGCACTGGAAATCGAGGGTAAAGCTGAGCCTTCGGGATGGGTTGGGGTGGTTTGGTGGGTGGTGACTACCGTTGCCCCCGATTCTCCATGGCCCCTCTCCTGTCCGCAGCGGGCCCCCGGCAGGAGGAGAGAGGGCCCCCCGGGGGACGCAGGGCCGTGGCGGGCAGCACGACGCGCACGCCTCCCGGAGAGAGGCAGCTAATTAGCGAGCTCGAGAGCCGCACCGAACCACTGGAGGCCTGGGAAGGGGCACCAACACCCCAGACCCCCTCGAGTAATGAAAAAATCACGACGGGAGGTTTTTCGCCATTTTCGGCCTCCGGGGGCCCTCACCGGACCTCGGGCGCGTCAAAAAACGACTCAGGACGAAAAACCGGTCATAGGGAAAGGGTCTGGACCTCTGGGGGGCGCGTCATGAAAAAATCATGACGTCGGGGGTCTGGGACCAAGACAGGGGGCTGCCTCCACAGGCGGGAGATGATCCTAGATCTCGATGCTGGTGGTAATTAATATTTCGGCCACCTTGGAAGCCAGAATATTACCACCATCACCGAGATCGGGATCGTTCTTCCCTCGGTGGAGGAACATCGCCGATCTTGGTGTTGGTGTCGGTCTCTAGGCCTGCGAAACCACCCTGATCTATTGAATCTCGGTCCTTTCCATGGCGAGGGTAGAAATCGGATGGGGGGAGAGGGGGGCGGGCGTGGCTCAGTGGGGGGGGGGGGGCACAGTGAACGGGGGGGGGGGGGAAGAAGGGGGCACCCGTCGTGCACACTCGGGGCCCAGGCGAGCTACTGTAGGGCCCCATTTGGGTCCGCTTTCCTGCAGCGCTGCAGGATCTGAAAACGGCATGGATATATAGATTGTTGAACGTCCGCGCAAATTTCTTAGAACGACGCTGGGCCCCTCTCCTTAGCACGCGGAGCGCGCCAGAAACGAAGCCGCAGGCGCCTCCAGGAGAGGCCGGCGCGGATCTGAGAAACCCGGGCGGACCTCGCAAAAGTTATGTTTATGTCATTTGTTGTTCCCCGACGAACTCGATGCCCCCCCTCACGCGTCGCCCCCAACCCCCCTCTTTCGAGACGCCCGAGCGAGGGGGAGGGAGTCCTCCGCCCGGCCTTCGGGGTCCCAGGGGACCCCTGTAGTGACGCGGGGGTGGGATTCGGATTTCGCCACGTGCTCGACGAATTCCGAACCCTACCCCCGCCGCCTATCGAGTTGCCCAACTCGTTGATCGGCGAGGGCAATGTTCAGGTCTCGCCGCCGACGATCGGCGGCGCACACAAAGGGGGCCGAGGGAGAGGGGGCGACCTAGCAGAGAGAGGCTGCGTCTCGAAGGCGCCGGCCCTGCCTCGATAGACAGGGGCCGCGCCTGCTGAGGAGCAGGGGCTGCTTCTAAGAAGCCTTCCCCTTGTCCCCTTCCCCCCCCCTGCGCGTGGCCGAAACTGGCCATCGCTCGGACGTCCATTCCCTGTGTTTGTTCGATGTTATGTGTGGCTTTTTCGCCAAATGATCAAGGATGCTCCTCGATGGTCCTCCCCGAAGGAAAAATACACACGTCCGAGCGATGCCAGGGAAACGGGGGGGGGAGGTCCTCCGCGCCGTGCGGCAGCGCCGCGCTGCAGGCGGAGGTGCCGGTCGCGAGCGCCATCCTCGGGTCGGCCTGTGCGCCCGGGTCGCGGGGGGAAGGGCGCGCAGGCGGGGACGATGTCCCTGGGCGCGCGGCTGAAGGGGGGTTCCGCAATGCGGATTCTTGCTGCGCTGTTGCGTTGAACTCTCGCTCTTGAAGAGTAATTACTGCTGGTCCCCCCACGTGTGCACAGTGTATTTTTCAATTGGAGTGCCTCCCTCGGGGCTCGCAACCTTTTTTTCCAGGACAAAACTTCCTGCTCAAACTGAACCCCTGGCCCCCTGGCGACAACAACAACAACAACAACAACAACAACAACAACAACAACAACAACAACAACAACAATGATGTTCAGACTGCTCCCGCTTACTTTCACGCGTGTTTTGCATTCTGCATACCCCAACCCTCGATACCCGCCCACATCGTTTTCGACCGCACCCCCTTTCGTGGGGAACTTCTTCCTTGTCGGCCATTGACTGAAGTGCGAGGAGGTCTGGAGCGAGAGCGCCGTTCCTGAGTTCGGGGTCTGTCTGGCCAGGCCAGGGGCTCTCGGAGTGCACATTGAGAAATATCGAACGGGAGCCCTTGTCGCCGTGTCTGGGCCTCCACCAACTTGCCTGAATTGCGAGTCAATGTCGAGTGAGAGAGCCTCTCTGGCAAGGGAATACGCGAATTCATTTTGAGGAAATATCCAACGAGAGCCCTTGTCGTCGTAGTTGGGCCTCCACCAATTTGACTGAACCACGGGAAAATCTCGAACGAGAGCACCGTTCCTGAGTTCGGGAGTCTTCCTAGCCAGAGGCTCTCGGAGTAAATCGTGAAGTATCGGGCAGGAAGCCTTGTCGTCGTGGCTGGGCCTCTGCCAACTTGATTGGATTGCGAGGAAGTCTCGAGAGAGAGCGCCGTTCCTGAGTTCGGGGGCCTCTCTGGCCAGGGTGTCTCGGTTCATAATCTATATAGAACCGCGGTGTCGCTCCGGCAATCGCGCAATCGCGTTGTCGCTCGAGACTTCCTCGCGATTCATGCAAAACGTTCGCTTCAGCAACCCTCCTGCTCGACCTGGCCGCCCGGGACCGCCTTGCCGACACGCCCGCTAATGTTTGCCCGGCCGATTTGCCTGTCTGGTTCTACCACGTGCTTTCCCCTCCTAGCCCCTCTCCTGCTACTTTCTCTCTCTCTCTCTCGTCCTCCATCCTTCCCCCTCCCCCTTTCATCCGTCCTCTTTTCCCCTGTCGCAGGGGCCGCACAACATGCAAGTGGCTGGCAAGAAAGATAGACCCCAAAGGGGGTACGATCGAAGACGAAGAAGGCCGGTACCAAGGGTGCGGGATGTACGCGTTGAGCTGCACGCGAGCAGGTAAGGACGAACAATATTCACATTGCTGTTGTTGCTGTTGGACTCTTGTCGAAAGAACTATTATTGTTGATCCCCCTGCCTGATAACCGCTGTATTTCTTCAACTTAAATGCTTATCCCGGGATTCGCGCCCTTTTTTAAACAAGAACAATCGAAGGATCACCAAACTGAGTTGTCAGTGTAGTTCCAAATCGCGCTCGCGCTCGGGACGTCCTCACAATTTATACTGGAGTCGCGCTCTGGCGTGGGATTTCCTGGCCAACTATTCAGAAGTTGCGTCCTCGACAGTCAGCTATCACGCTCTCGCTGTGGACTTCCGCACGGTGAACTTGGGAATCGCGCTATTGCTTGGGAAATCCTCGCGATTCATGGAAAACGCACGCTTCAGCAACCCGCCTGCTCGACCTGGTCGCCTGGACCCGCCTTCTCGACCCACCCGTTAGGGTTTACCTGGCCGATCTGCCCGTCTGGTTCTGCCACGTGTTTTCTGCTCCCTACTCTCTCCCTCTCGTGCTCCATCCTTCTCCCTCCCCCCTGTCCCTTCCTTCCATCCTCTTTTCTTCCCCTGCCTTAGGGGCTGCACGCAATACACGCCGCAGGTAGGAGAAGGAGGGTATCGACGGATTGGGACACACGTGTTGAATGGGACGCGAACAGAAAATACCAAACTGATTGTTATCGTTGCTGCTGATGCTGTTGCTGCTGCTGCTGCTGCTGGTGCTGTTGGTGCTGCTGTTGCTGTTGTTGTGGTCGTTGTTGTCGTCTTCGACCTCGCCGCGCTCTCGCCCGTGACACGCCCGCGACCCACCCGCGACCCACCCAACGACCCACCCCGCGACCCACCCCGAGAACCACCCGCGACCCGCCCCGCGCCCGCCGCCCGCCCCCTCACTCTGTTTCGCACCTGTGGGATGCCACGTATCCACATCGACGGCGTGGGGAAACAGCGTCCCGGGACACCAACGAGCGGTGTGGACACGTCTGGGACACAGGGGGGCGGAATGTCCCACCGTCCCTCCCCGGGCCCAAACATCCCCTCCTGTCGCTGCGCTGGCCCAGTGCTGGCGCGGCGGCAGAGATGGCGACTGTCCTGTCCGCCGCGGAAGGGGCATCCTGGAGTGCACATAAGGCCTACGCGAACTCGAGGCTTCATTCGCCCTGGTGCCTGTGCGGAGCGCTGCTTCTTCATAGCGCACGACCATCCCTCAACTCTCCCTCAAGTGCTGGAGCATATATCGTTCAACCCTCCCTTTTTGAATGCCATTCGTTTATTTCGCGCGAGTTTCATAGGACCAGATGCGGATCCCGCTTCGCAGTCGCTCTCCATGCTGACTGACTCGTACCAGACAAACTGACATCGCATTGTCCTCAAACTCGTCATCCTACGCCTCAAACCTCACCAACGTAATCGTCGTAGTCGTCAACGTCCGTCATGACCAGGGCCGCATCAAGGTTGTCGTCGATACAACCACTGCGTAATCAGCATCCTCATCGGCGTCGGAATCCTCGTTGCCCTTAACTGCTCCCTGGCTTCCGAGCGTTACCATGCTACCTACCAACTCGATTATATGCGTCGCAACATGATGCAATGCTCCCTTTCAAGAGAAAGAGCGACCTGTCGGCTTCTTTCTTGCGGTGATATGTAGGCGGCTTCGCCGATGATTGGGCCTCCACTTCTCCCCCCCCACATGGCTGGCGTTTATACACGTCCACAACTTCGGGAACCAACCTTACAGGACCTCAGGAGGTAGTACATCGGAGGTTGGCGGGTGAGCCCGAAATGAAACGGAGCCCCCCACCAGGAAGTCGGTGTCGATTTCGTGGTCGCGTTTCACATGCGAGGCGAAGCTGCGCGGAAGGCCGAGAGGAATGAACCCGCCGTGGCTAAGGCGAAACTGAACTCAATGACTCTACGCCCCCTGGCATGCCGGCGAAAGCTCGGGGGTGTCCCGTTGGTGTCCCGACGGTGTCACGTGGCGTCCCGTGGCGCGGTGTCCCGTAATGTCCCGTGTTGTCCCGTGGTGTCCATTGGCGCGGTGTTCCGTGATGTCCCTTGAGGTCGATAGTGAGATCGATATACGCATCGATAATGAGATCGATAATGAGATCGACAGTGAGGTCGACTGTGAGATCGATAGAGAGTGACATCCATAGATAGATAGAGGGATATCGATGGTGATATCGATGGGTAGATAGATACAGGAGGAGATCGTTAGATATGGCCAAACAGGTGCTCCGTGGTGCCCAACTGGTTGCCGCCGAATCCGATCGGACCCAATCGCACACCGGACCGAAAGCTGAACTCCCCCCCACAACCTCCTTATCACCCGAAGGAAGGTCGTGCAGGTGTGGACACATGGGCGAACCCCAAACTTGGACCCAAACTCTCGGGAGCCCGACCAGAGCCGTCGCGAGCTCATCGGACTGTCTGCACCACCTCTGCGGCCATGCGAACACCAACGTCCGATGCTGGACCTACTGTTCACTGCCCCCGCTGTAGACCACAGGCGGCACGCCTGTGATAGTACATACCCCCCCCCGCCAGATCGCCCCCCCCGCCAGATCGCCCTCCCCCCCCGCCCCCCCGCCAGAGGCGGATAAGAGTGCGCCCCCCCCCCTGCCAGATCGCCATGCCTGGCCAGGGCCCTCCTGGGTCACGGCACGGTGTGTGAGACCTCCCTGGCCGAGGCCACGGGGGTCTGCACATCAACCCGCAAGGGCCCAGACCAGCTCTGCCATGCGGGACGAATCTGGCGAGCCCGGAGGCGCTGCTTCTGAAGTCACCCTGGGGCCCGAGAAACTCCAAGAGCCGTCGAGAACTTCTCGGGAGCCTTCGAACGCTGTGGCTCGTGGTGCCACGACGGCAAGGAGGACAGGCAGGATCCGGGGCACGGGGGGGAGGAGGGGGAGGAGGAGGCGGAAGAAGCGGAAGGCGACGACGAGGGAGGTGCGGGGAGACGCGGGGAGGTATCATAAGGGAGGGCCGAGGGAGGAAGGGAGGGAGGGGACGGAAGACGACGACGAGGGGAGGTAGAGGGAGGGCCCAGGGAGAAGTTGGTAGGGTGTATTGTAAAGGTGGGGGAAGGGTTGGCTAGGCAGGGGGCGGGAGAGGGGTGGCTCGGGGAGTGTGGGAGGATAAGAGGTGGGGGGGGCAGGAGAGGGGAGATAGAGTTACTTGGTGTGCGAACCATGTGTAATGACCGCTGGCTGGAGGTCGTCGACGACGACGCTTACACAGACGACGACGATGACGACGACGAGCGCCAACCGGCGGGTGCGCTGATCGCCACCTTGCCTCATGCTGCTCGCTGTTCATCCATGCCTCTTCACGCTCCCTCTCCTCCTCCTCCTCCTCCTCCTCGTTCTCCTCCTCCTCCTCCTCCTGCCCCTCCTCTCACTCCGCCTCCTCGTCCTCCCGTCGTCGTCATGCTTGGTCATCCTAGTCCTCCTCCACTGCCCTCCTCCTACTCATCATCATCCTCGTCGTGATCTTTTCCTCTCCCTTCTCATCATGCCCTTGTCTCTCCTCTTCCTCGTCGTTGCGGTCGTCTCCTCCTCCTCCTCCTACTCCTACTCCTCCTTCACCTCCTCCTCCTCCTCCTCCTCCTCCTCCTCCTCCTCATCATCATCATCATCATCATCATCAGCATCAGCATCATCAGCAT